TGTGTAATCTCTTTTATCGCTATTCGAAACATTACATTTATACTTTTTGGAGTAATTGATCATATCTAAATCTATGTTTCAGTTTATTTGTTATGAACGGTAGTACACAAGATACAGGATACCTACATACTTCTAAATATTTCATCTTATGCTCACGATTATGGAAATTTAAGTATACATATTCTTGCAGGTATAATGGAAAAACGGAATTACGACGAGAAGTACCGGACTCTATCACATCATGGGTACTAACTGCATTTTCCGTCAATGACGCACATGGATTAGGCCTTATAGAGGAACCCAGAAAGGTTGTTATAAATACATATACGTATTTACACAATTTATATATAAAAAGTTTGGAGATTGATTGTATTAAAAAAATCAATGATATTTTATAAATTTTTTTTCTTAGTAATAAAGTAAATTTAATAATTTAATTTGTTACATAAGATAAGATAACATTTGCTCAAAATTTGTTTCGATCATAAGTTTTATTATATTAACTATCTAATTCACTTTCCTCACAAATTATTTCTGTCAAAGTCTTATTGATTTTGTACTAATTTTTTCTTTTAACCTACGATAATTGTCGCAAAGGTTGAATTGATTATATACATATGTGTGACGATTTTCTTTCCATATATTCATGTACGTGTTATATAAAATGTATATAAATCTGACAGAAATCTGAGCGCATATATTGTAGCAAAACAGAGGAATCTTCTAAATAAAAATTTTCATAATTATTATGAAACTATCATATTAATATATTATTTATTATCTGTTCATTAGTTGAAAGTGTTCAAACCATTCTTCATATCTGTCGATTTGCCGTACTCGGTAATCCGAGGAGAAATTGTAGGAATACAGATTGTGGTGTTCAATTACATGAATAAAGACTTGACAGCCGAAGTTCTGCTAACAAACGACGGACAGTTTGATTTTGCAGAAGTTTCTAACGAAGTTCACGATGCACCAAGTAAGTGGGTGTATAAGTATAATGTTATTCAACTTCAAAGAGATAAGATAACAATAATAGCCAACTTGTAGTTTGTAGCAATTACATATACATTTTATAACTATAATCATCCAATTATGATAAGTATACATATATTATGTATATATAGGATTATACACATATATATATATATATATATATATAGGATTAAATTAATGTTTGTTATATTTTTTAGAATTGGAGTTATATCGCAGAAAGAAAGTTGACGTAAAAGCCAATTCTGGCTCGAGTGTGTCCTTCATGATTATTCCAAGAGAACTAGGATACATCAGTATAAAAGCAACCGCTAACAGCGTTTTGGCTGGCGATAGTGTTGAACATAAATTGCTTGTCAATGTAACGATTTTCATTCTTATTTTTTTGTTCGTACGATTAATTTAAGTGATAATAAACGTAAACGTTGTTCTACTTTAAGGCCGAGGGAGAAACACAATACAAGAACAAAGCGGTACTTCTGGATTTGAGAAATACTGAACAAGCGAGTGCGAATATCACCATCGACATACCTAATAATGCAGTACCAGGATCCGAGAATATACTAATATCTGCAGTTGGTAATAATATTGCTCAAATTACATATACATTTTATCCAATTTAAAAGGATCTTATCGATATTCCCCTGTTCAAACTAGTCTGTTTTAAACTTTGTGTAATCCATAATGAACGTTAATGAATTTTTCAGCATGATGTACACATGTATATAATTATATAATAATTCATATGCACCCATGAAAACTTATTATTTTGCATGAGATATCTTGAAAAAAAATTCCTTTTTTATTAATTGTATATTATACAGGTGATATCTTGGGCCCCAGTATCCAGAACTTGGCAAATTTAATAAAAATGCCATTTGGATGCGGCGAACAAAATATGCTCAACTTTGTACCAAATATCGTAGTTTTAAATTATCTCAAGGTATCAATAGCACTTTCTTTCGCTATATGACACACGCTAAAATATAATTTATACATAAAAAAAAACACTTTTCAGAATACGAATCAATTAACACAAGCCGTACAAAGCAAAGCACTAAAATATCTGGATATTGGTTACCAGCAAGAATTGACTTATAGACATACTAATGGTTCATTTAGCGCATTTGGCATGTCGGATCCTAGCGGGAGTACATGGTACGCGCTACAAAATTATTAATTACAACATAACAATATTTAATAATTATTTCAAGATCAAGATAATTGTCATTTAAGTCATATGTGATCTAAAATTATCCAATCTACTAGGCTTACAGCCTTCGTAGCGAAGTCTTTTAAACAAGCGGCGGAATATATTGCGGTCGAGGATAGGATCATAACTGAAGCTTTGCAGTGGTTGTCCGATAATCAAGCACCAAACGGATCTTTCCCTGAAGTGGGAAAAGTTAGTCACCGCGATATGCAGGGTGGAGCTGCCAAAGGACTCGCTTTAACAGCATATACGCTCATTGCTTTCCTAGAAAATGAGGTAAGCGAAATATCTTTTTATTTTATTTAATAATATTTAAATAAATATAATTGTTTGGAGGAAGAAATGTTATCTTTATATGCTTGAAAGCAGTACATAAAATAAAAATTGTACTTTCTATGTCGCACAATTAAAGTTGAACATGTGATACAGGAACAAATGGGAAAATATCGTAATACGATAAACAAGGCTGTTGACTACATTGTTCGTAATATGGAAGGACTAAACGATACGTATGCATTGAGTCTATGTGCCTACGCCTTAAATTTGGCGAAACATCCATATGAGACATCGGCATTTAACTTCTTGGAATCGAAAGCTATGGCAAACCAGGATCTTAAATGGTGGAGCAAGCCCATTCCAAAAGACAATAAAAATCCACACTATTCTTTACCACGTTCTGTCGATGTCGAAATGACATCATACGCTTTACTCTCGTATCTGAGACGTAATTTGGTCACGGACGCGATTCCTGTAATGAAATGGCTCATCAAACAAAGAAATACAGAAGGTGGTTTTGCGTCGACGCAAGTAAGTAATTATTTCAGGTACAAATTATTATTTCAAGTATGGACGAGATAAAATTTGATTAAAAATTACTTATGTGTAAAATTTAGGATACCGTGATTGGACTTCAAGCATTGGCAAAGCTTGCTGAAAAATTGTCAAAGAACACGAGTTCAGTTCAAGTTATGTATAAATACGGCGAGGGAGAAGGTCAAGGGAGCTACATGAACATACATAGCGATAATTCTATGATACTTCAAAAGAAGATGGTAAGTTTAAACGAATTGTTTTATGTATATTATACGTTATTACAGTAAAATATTAATATTTTTGCATTTCTTACAGCTACCTATAAAAACACGATATATTAATATAACAGCATCTGGTAAAGGTTTCGTACTGGTGCAAGTTTCCTATCAATACAATTTGAATGTGACTGGAGCATTCCCATTATTTACATTGGATCCTCAAGTAGATAAAAATTCAAACGCTAATCATTTACAACTTTCGATATGCTCAGGGTATGTTTTCATTATTGTATTGTATTTAATATATATTATTTAAGCTGAATATAAATGAATATAAAATAATTTAGTTTTTAGATAGCAATATATTATACATTATATGATTCTATAGACTGAAAAATTAATTAATCAAATTATTATTTATCGACAGATTTGTTCCAACTGAAGAAGCAAACGAAAGTAATATGGCCGTCATGGAAGTAAGTCTACCTTCTGGCTTCACGGTAGATAGAGATTCATTACCGAGTTTAGAAATGTCATCACACGTAAAACGTGTTGAAACTAAAAATGGTGACACAATGGTTATTTTATATTTTGACAAGGTAGAGTATATATGTATCACAGTTAATATAAACAATAACTAATTAACGTTTATTTAAATAATTACCACAAAAATCATAAAAAATATAATATATTAAAAATAAAAATAATTATTTATTATTGTAGATGATAAAACAAGAATATTGTCCAACCGTGTCGGCATTTAGGACGCATAAAGTAGCTAAGCAAAAACCAGTTCCCGTTTCTGTATACGACTATTATGATTCTTGTAAGTATAATGAAAATATTTTATAAATAAATTTGATTTAAAGATATAAAAAATGTAAAAGATAAAATATTCTAAGATTGTAATACATATATATGTGTACAATACGACCTATAAGACCTTTAAAAATATACCTTTTAATTATATTTCTGTGCAGCGAGAAGGGCAAGAGCATTTTACGAGCCTAAAAAGACAACTTTGTGTGACTTATGTGAAGATGAAGATTGCGAAGATATTTGCGTTTCAAAACCTGGTAAACGAAAGGACAACACTACAGTGTCTACTGCGTCTGACGTTTACGCTTCTGTATATTTGCAATTTATGTTCTCGTTTTGCTATTTGCTTCATAAGTACTTGTAATTATATTGTTGTCAAGAATAATTATTTCATTTATAAATATAATTATATTATAAACTTTAAATCTAACAAAATAGCGTAGAAGCTGTATAAGTTGCGACCAAAGTATATATACTTGTTATACAGAGTATGAGATTATAATCTTTATATGAAATGTCCAAATCAAACTAACATACATAAGATTTAATTACTGATAATACTAAGTTTATAATAAAATTTAATGTTTTTTGTTATTATTTAATAGATATTACTTTTCTTATACTATAAGTCTTTCTGATACATTGATATTTATATGAAATGCTTCATTTATGCGTTTACTTTTATACTATGGAAAGAAAAGAATAAGAAAGATGTGAAGAGGTAGGAATGAAAAATGGTAGAAATTTATTAAAAAAATTTATCAATATATGTATAATATGTATATAGTTTATTGTATATCTTACGAAATTTTCGAGACATTTATTAGACAATTTATCGAAATATTGACGATAACGTATTAAAGTACGTATTATGAAAATATTCTGAATAGATTCCGATGGAATCATTCAATTATTAGATTTTTATTGTATTTTCTTAGAGAAAATAGAATTATTCAGATTAAAATCTATTCTGAATAATTTCATAATAGGTGCCCAGTTCAATAATTAGACAATCTATACTTTAAAACAAACGTAATAATAATCACATCGTTATGCAGATAGAAGATCGTCGTCGCTATCTGATTGACTAGAATCGGAAGCGCGGATCAAAAGTTTAGTTTCCTCAGTAGTATCGACCTATAAAATAAAATGTATATGTAGTATATACGGTTTAAGTAAAAGTTAACACTAGTTTATAAACGTTCTAAAGTAGGAAAAACAAAGAATTATACTTTACAATACTGGACACGACCCATGCCTCTTCTGAAATTAATCCAATTTAACCAAAAGCGGCATCTTTTTAGCGGAAGTATATCTTCAATAACCAAACGGGTCAACACCGCAAGCACAAACAGTATCATCAACATTATAATCGTAATCATTTTTAACTTGTATGCCAAGTCTGAAAAAGCCATATAAGTAATTATAAGATCAGTATGCTAACATAAACCGAGGCAAGTAGAAAAAAGTGATAAAGTGCTAAAAAAAATTCGATAAATTCATCATTCAAATATAAATCAATAATGAAATTACATACTGGTAACCTTGATATGTTTCTGAATAATTTTCAAGCTTTAACTATCGCTCATTGTTTATTTTTTTATTATTAATAAAAGAATTTAACAACATAACGATGTGTTTAACTCACTTACCATATAAGGTAAATGTACCAGTTCGTGGACATGACCCAATTGTTGGACAAATTGTGACAATTTTAAATATTAAGGGTGTTACTCTAAATAAATTTTTCAGCAATTTTTCATATTATTTAGAAATTAAGTATTATATAATTTATTCATATTAAAAATGATACTTTTGTAAAAAAAATTTCGTTTATGGACAATCGTCCATTTATTAGGACATTCACACATATGCGTGTATCAATTATTGGACATTCCTTAGCGTACCTGTCTACTGCAAACATATTTTGTATATATTACATATAAAACTTCACTAATTACAATTTCGATAAACTTTTTTGAACAATCTTGATTGATAAGTAAGTAAAATGCGATTCTCTTCTATAATAAGAAAATTGCTTATTATTTGTCCAATAATTGGGTCATACTTTTGTGGACACAGAGACACGTCACATTTTTTGTCTAAAAATTACAACATTTGAATCATATTATATTTATGACTAAATACAATTTATAATAAACGCAAATAACATATTCGATAATGGATTTAGTTTCAGAAAACATCCATTCTTATTAAGCATGTGTAATAAATTAAAATTTTAATGTTTCTAAAGTTTAAATAAATGATTTTGTCGTGCAATTCCTTAACTGTCCAATAACCGGTACATTTACCTTATTTTACATGGAAAGTTAGAAATCCATGTGAAAGCTCGCTTCGCGTGGAAAATTTGTAAATCCATACATAGTGAAGTTTCACATGTGTTTGCATCTAATTTGCAGTTTTATCTCAAATATGCAGTTTTATTAAAAACGATTTTATATTTTATTAAAAACGATTTTGATATTTTGCAGTATAAAACAATTCATATCGATAAACACGTTTATAAATAAAAAAAAATGAATGATTTCATTTCTTCTGGTATATCGATTTTTTCAATTTTAAAATAAAAATCTTATCACTTGCCTCGACCTGTCCTACTAAATTCAATATTAACGTAATAAATATCCGCATTTAAAATAGGGCTCGTTATTATACGTTTAAATGAAAATACGTTTACACGTATAATTAGTATCATATATCCGTTTATTAGAAACGTTTATGAATTATTTAGAAATTCGGGAAAACGTTTCTTTAATAAACGGATATGCTAATTAAACGTGTAAACGTTTACCTTCAAGTAAATGTTTTTCTGAAAGTGAATATAAACGGATAAACGTTTTACGTTTACACGTATCTTCGAAAAACGAAATAAAATTAGAACCCTAATTTAAAATCTAATATTACAAAACCATAGTGTTTACCAGGAGGCACAGGACAACGTGCTTTCTTGCAGTACGACGTATTTTCATGAGATGCATCCGGAGAATTGGCATGTTTCACGCAGATCACTTCGGTGTGCCACTCGAATTTCGCGCTGCATTGTGATTCCTGACATCATGAAAAAGAAAAATGAAACACCGAATCGAATAAGAATTAGCAGCGTCCGCTTAATGTAAATTTTACTCGGTGCCACGTCTGATTATTCAGAGACTTAAACGCGTGACCGATATGACAATCTTATCCATCTCAGTCATGAATAAGTATATATTTTATACGATCAGACAGTTTAAAAACATAAGAGAAAAAAACGGTACACGCAGTGAATTACCAAGATAAACTATAGTATTTTTTTCTGTATCGATTATAAAAAATTATTAAGGAGAGACTTGCGTTGTTTCCAGTGAATATTTTTAGGATTTTATATAACATTTAATATAAATTAAATAAATCTTTTTTTTTGTATTTAAAATATTTTTATAAACAATTTTAAATTAAAAAAAAAATTTCAGAATAATATGATATAAGAATAGCTGAATTTCATTCCTAATACGTAAGAAATAAAAACACGCTGATATACGTTTTGTCTAATGTATATAAGCTAAATCTGTTTTACTAATTAATGTTTAAGTAGGTAACATTATTATCAGAAATGTAAAAAATGATATGTAATAATTTTTGCATTTTTTAAAAACTTAGATCTTTAATATTACTGATTACCTTATACAAATATTTATAATAATTTCATTAATCAACTAATATAATGAAATAAGGGCAATGAGCCAATTTTCATTAAAATCTTTAAATCAATCTAATATATTGCGAAGAATATCACGTAATTATGGCGTTTCGTCCCAACTTCCACTACTGGACTCATCAGTAAGGCATTGTAGTGGAAGCCTACCTTAGACGCCTGTTTTAGTTGTTAAATCGAGATTCTATAAATTTCATTAATGTTATATCATACACAAGAGATTTCAGCGATATGAACGATAATAAAAATATTCTTAGCATCGCACTGTCACTCTTCTATTGTCTGCCTATTCTTATCAAGCATGCGTATTAATATTATCAAGATACGTCGAATATATTTCGCATTTCATCAAATAGATAAGTAGTAGCTGAGTAAAAAATGCCAATTTAGAAAAGATTATTTAGAAGAAAGAAGTTCAAAATAGCAAGCGTAAAAATATCTATTAAATAAAAAAAGGATCTTTATATATATTTTATGAACAAAAAAGCACACATATACGGATATAGTAATATAAAAATAATTATATTATAGTTTTATTATCCATATTTAAAAATAATGATATTATATATTTATAATGTTATATAATTATTATCAATTTTTATTTAACTTATTCAGATTAATGTAATACCAATGCGATTCCACATTCAGAAGTTTATGATCTCAGGTGTACGTCTCTTTCATCTATCGATGAGGTGTTAGTTAAAAAAAGACGGAACACGAATGGCAAAGTGAGAGGGAGAATAGAAAGAGTATAAGTGGGGACGAAAGAGTGAAGAGGGAAAGAGAGAAAGAGAAGGAAAGAAGAGGACAACAGGCACAGTCACAGTCAGTCCGAGTTGAAGTCAGTCTGTACCGGACTGTATGATTGAAAGCTCGGATTGGTGGTAGTGTCTCAGTGACAGTTCCGATGAGTCAATTCGGGATTCTCTACTTTAGAACTATTCGCCTACAGTTACGACTATCTTCTTATGTGTTCAATATTAAAAACTAGTATTGGAGAGCGAACACGCAACAAAGTGTTATTAAAACGAATATATATTTTTTTTTTAATTAATTGCGTGCGGAAGATCACGTGTCACGCGCACATTGTAATATGAAAAGTGTACGTATGTGCGTCTGTGATATCTGCATGTGACATCGTTGGCAGTACTCGCCACTATCCTCGATAGAAAGAAAAACAGACGGCACGCGAGATTCCCGCAAATGATCTAACGTAGTCCACCATATTGCTGTAAGTAAACGTATATAATGTACAGACGTCATTTCCGTGAAACCGGTTCAGGCACCGCCTTATGAACGTCTCGCGTGCAGGATCGGATCTTGCCTTCTAATCGATCGTTAACAACTCCGGAAAAAGAAACGTAAATATTTTGCAGTTGCTGATCAAATAATCGCTTATAGATCAATCGGATTCGTTTTTTTAAAAATTAAATATTTAATAATAACATTAAAAGCTACGTTCAAGATCGTTTATTTTGCGATTGTTGAACGTTTTTTTTTTTTTGCGCTGATTGGAGGTCCACTTAGCGCTACAAATACTTCAAAACATCTGCAGTATGAACCGGAGCCTAAATCACACTTTTAGATCTAAAAGAAATTATCTTTTCAGCGCGCGAAGAGAACTTTCAACAGTTGCAAAACATGTTCTGCAGACGTCCATCTTTCTTCTTTGTATTTTTAATTTTGGCTAATCTATAAGACACAAATAAAAAGAAACCTCTAAAAGAAGCCCCGTCTAATGTGATTTACGAGACTTAGAAAATAATAAATGTCCTTTTTTTCTTTGCACTTTTAATTTAGGTAGTTATAAGACGGCCAATAATTGAAGCATGAACAATGGCTACGTTCAGCAGAAAAAAGCAGTTTTACAACTGTTGTAAAAATTCTTAAATATGATTGATTTATATATTTAGATTCAGTGAGGAACTAAGACCATCATATTAAAGAATTTTACAATTACAGTTATAAAGCTGCTTTTTTTTTTTTGCTGAATACAGTCATTGTTGCATTTTTTGAAAAACAGTTTTTATTGCAAAGAGGATATGCTGGTCTTCTCACTATCCTTCTCCTCCTGTCTCATAGACTACTTAAAATAAAACATGCAAGGAAGAAACATTTGCTACATCTTAAATATAATTCACATTAAACAAAGCAGATTATTTTTATTTATATTTCATAAATTAACCAAAATAACAAATTCAAAGAAAAAAGATTTTTTACATTAACTGCATAAATTATTATACGTTAGACGAAACAGATTAATTTTTACTTGTATCTCTTATGAAAATAAAAATCTTACAAAGTTTGCCCACAAAACTTGGCTGGCTAAAGCATCTGTCTAAAGAAAAGCTAAAAAGAATATGTAAAATTAAATGCACGGCAGTCTTAAAAGTTAATACGATTTATAATAAAAATAAATTTATATAAAAATATGTGTTTATAACAAGGCTCAATAAATTTAAAAAATAATTAAAATAACAGGGCTACGCGCTAACATTCGTTAAATTGTAAAAGCTTAGTAAATATAAGAAGTCATTAGTTAAAAATAAATATAAAGTTTAATAAAATTTAAAATTTAAAAATAGTTAAAAAAGTTATGTTATTCGTTTTTGTGAATTTTTATAATATCATGGTTTGTACATCGTTAACGATATTTTGCGACTTTTTTAACATTGAAAATGACCTAATAAAGGTCGAAACGTCTGTTTTTAAATTTTAAATTTTATTGAACTTTATATTTATTTTTAACTAATGACTTCTTATATTTACTAAGACTTTTACAATTTATAACGAATGTTGGCTCGTAGCCCTGTTGTTTTAATTATTTTTTAAATTTATATAATTTAAATGGAAATATATCTTGTGTAAGTCCTGTTTTTAATTGATTTTTAAAAAAGGAAGATGGTTCCCAGCATAACTCGTATGTATTTTTTGTACACGTTTACACATAAATTTTACACCTATATAATTTTACTTCTTTTTAGACTGTGTAATTTTGTCGAGTAAATCAGGCCCTGTTCCCATGACGTAAACAACATTTATTCGTGTAGGAACGTGTCAAGGACGATACACATACAAATCGTGTATGCATCGTTTCATCGATCGAGTAACCGACCAGAGCAGAATGTACCATTTTGTTTTTCTTTCATTTTTTCCACTAGTTGTGATAGTCATTGATGTAAGATAAATTGACGGGATTCCGCGCCTGTTTTCCCGGCGATACAGCAGATTCAATTATTACCGTAATGGGTATTAATACGTTTCGGGGAATGCTCCGCCGCGGATTTTACGCTGTGTTCACGTCGCGCGTCCAGATCCTGGTGTTTATATAACACAGGTATAACTGAAACTTATCCAAGACAGATACGAGCGGTGAAAGCGAGAAGAGAAGTATCGTATCGAGATATAATTGTCGCCTATGAACTTTGGATGTGTCTATCGATCTTTTTTTTTCCCAATGTTGATAACTAGTCAAGTATGATATGTTGAACATTAAATTGTCGAATATGCGAATTGTTGCAAGCACGTGCGAACAATCTCCGATAAAAAAAAGGTTTTTTAATAATAACTATATATATATACACACACACACGCACATATATACAAAATGAAAGAGAGGAAATTACGAAATATCAGAGCATGCAAAAGATCATGCTTTATCATTAATTTGATAACACTTCTTTTTGCGTAAAAAACACTATTTACTGCGAATGCAACAAAGAACGTATTTCTAAAATCATGAGAATAATTTATCGGATTAGTTTACTTGACAAAGGATTTTTTTCTTAAAAGGATCCTAAAGTCAGGTATTGTACTGATTCAGTAAGATTTACATATACATATGATTTACATCTTATTGACATACAGGGATGGGAAGTAACTCGTTACTTGTAACGAAGTTACAGTTAGAGTTACTTTTTTTCAGTAACTGTAACTTAACTTCGTTACTTTTTTCCATCTGTATATAAACCAATCTTTTCCTTAATTGTCCTAATTACTCTGATGACTCTATGTATCATTCTTGTTTAATATTAAGTAAAAAACAAGGATAAAACATTACACGAAGGCAGTTGGGTAACGTTTCTGAATGCAGCCCTAGTATCGATGCTATTGAAAATTCTGATGAAAAAGTAACTTAAAAGTAACTTAAAGTTATTTCTTCAATAACTGTAACTGTAACGAATTACTTTTCAGAGTCAATAACTTGTAACGGTAATTAATTACTTTTTGAAAGAAAAAACTGTAACTGTAATTAATTACTTTTACAAAGTAACTTTTCCATCCCTGTTGACATATTACTGTACACTACTATAATAATATCACATACATACGTACGAATTTTCTAATTATATAATAATTTTTCATATTAGGTATCTAACAATAAATCTAATTCTAACAATAAGAATACAGCAATATATATATTTATATAATTCTTAGTCCAAATCAAGATTGTTTTATACATATAAAATATAGAAATTTGTATATGTATAAAGCAAATATTTTGTTAAGAGTTGATACCAGAAGCCGATAACAAAAACTGTAATTTTCTATGAAATTTTTTTTCACTTTTGTATAAAATCAACCGGTTTGGATTCCATTATCGTTTATACTTTAATTATGAAAAATGATTCCTAAAGTATATAAAGATAATTAGAAAAATACTTACACAACATATAATCACATTTTGTTGGTAAAATAAACGACTTTAGAATTTCTTAAGTTTCAAATAAAGTCACTGAAGTTTCTTCAAAGAAAGACTTACGAAACATTTTCCTCTACATGAGATAAAATAAAAGATTCAAAACTTGCCTCTCTCTTTCTTTCCCATTCTCTTTTTTTTCAGATAAAAGAAAAAAAACTATGTTGAAACCAAACGAGCATTAATAACTATAGCTTGAGCATTAATTAATAAATAAATATCTTGAGAAATTTTGTTTAACTCCACTTCCAACTTTGCTCAACAGGAATTAATGATTTTTTATTCAATACTTAAATAATAAATTTAAATTCATAATCAATAAAAATAATTATATGAATAAAACTTAACGAACTCTCCTGTCAAAAAAAAGTCGTCGTGTTTTCTTTCGTGTACCTTCGCAACCAACGTGCCACTTTGACCTTCAACATTCTTAGAATCGTTGAAGATGTCGCAAAGCAAGTATCAGAAAGATCCGTCGGATTATTTAATATTCGGAAATTCACTGGATAAAATTTCGATATATTGTTCATTTGCATTTAAATATGCGGTTTAACGAATATAAATATTACACCAATTATCGTGATTCTCAATGATACATACAAATAGATTTCATAAAATTAACAGGATGTTCTTAATCAATGGTGTAATTCCTTTAACAACATAAACGTAACGTAAGAAAAAACTGCATTTAAAAATATTTCGTAGAATAGTTTTTTGAATGAGAGATAATAATAATCAATCGTGCTGATAACGTATCATTTTCACACGTTCTTGATACTAGTTTCGTAAGATTATTTAAGATAAGCAATAAGATACAGCCGATCAGTACATAACACACATATATGAAGAAGTATACATGAAGAAGGAAGAGTATGCATATACATTTATAAATCTGTTATAAATTTTCAATGATTTTTTAAAATACATATCTTCAACTAAAAAACTATTTAATTTTAATATTTATATTAATTGCATAAACGCTATTTTAAAAAAGCAATGAATAAATAACAGTTACATATTTATTTTACATCAATATATTGAACATCTCAGTATCCGAAAAATCAGAATTTTGAATTCGACAATGACTACACGAATCCATTTCCATTTTTATTTCTTGGAATGTGTGAAAAGGATCCGAAGCTTGGATAGAAACGTATGTTAACTTAATTGAATAAATTATATTCCGCACAATACATCCAGTATCTGGCTCAGCAAAGCAATTATTTCATGTATTTGATTTATTTCAATTGAGCTTTGTTTCATTATTGCATTAATTTATATTGTTATAAAAAAGATTTGTGCCTATGAGGACTTTTAATCAGCTTAACATATATAATCTACGAAATATTAATATTTGAAACAATTTGACCGAAACCTATGTCCTATAAGATTTGTTCTTTTGCCTTGAAAAATCATCATTTACTAAAATTTTCAACCGTTAATTATTTTAATATTAACGACCCTAATAATTAAAAAAAAATTGAGATTTGCCTATAAGCTCCAAAATAATTGATCTTTCACTTAAGCTTGAATTAATTTCCATCGATAAAAACGAATTAACTATTTAATGTACAGCTTATTTTTCCTTGTAAAGCAATTACCTAACTACAATTCTGCGAATAGATTATTTGCATAAATGCAAAAATAACAATTTACATGAATGTAGATTTACCTAATACAATTGCTTTGTAACACTGATGTCTTTTTAATGAGAGATATAAATAAATGAAAAACTAATGACGAATATACGATTACTATTAATTAGCAATAAATTATACGATAAGCTTCGAAGAAACAGACTCATAATAATGTTTTTTTTACTACTTATGAGAAAAATATACAAAATGATTATTATAAATTAAAGTATTATATAATATAATAAAAATAATAAGTAGACACGACAAATAATTTCATGCTTGAAGTTTTACTGATTTTCTATTTTAGTTTTGGATTCAAATAAAATGCCATATCTTTTACAGTGAATAAAGAATGTAGTTTTTCTCTTATTTATACTATAAGCTTACGCCAGGAATGCGATAAATATATGTTTCGTCTTAAAAACGTTTTCAGAGATTAGAGAAATACTGAGAATCGTAATCCAGCCTTTTACAGTTTCCATATTTATAATTATTTCTTCTAAAATACATTAAGAAACTTTCCATGAATCTTACCAATTGATCTTCTATCTACTATGATAATGCAATTTTTATTATTCTTACTAAAAATTTTAAAATTATATTTTATTTTTCAAAAATTTATATTTTAATTATACACAAATTTTTTATTTTATATTATATAATGTATAAAAAAATAATATTGAAGAAATAAATTAATATGTACTATACTTATATGAGAGAAAGACAATTATAAAAGATAAAAAGAGTGCAAAAAGCTTATCTCAAAAAGAGGAAGTGTTACATTTATCTAATCCATTATGCTTCCGATTTTCGCAGTATCATGCTCGACATTTACGGCTTAAAAATAAAAGAGAATTGAAAACAAATTGTATAAAAAAAATAATATATGACAATAAAAATGTATTCAATTCTAAAAACCACCAATGTAACAACATAACTATAGTACGAATACGAAGCCTATAACAATCTAGCTTGGATCTTAGTTACTTATATATTATATAATTTCGCGTGAATTTATATATTGATATGTGCAGTCTTTCTAAACTGCGCGCCGAACAATCGTCGGTCTTGAAATGCAACTCTAATAAACTACCGCAGTACTATCACGAATTAAATTGATTAACAATTTAATAATTAATTCATGTTCTTTTGGCATCTTATCTTAAATATCGACTATATTAAAATTTGAAAATAATAATTCTTATTGTGAAAAATATTACCTCGGCCGGAAGTCGAATCCAAACCTTAGTAATATTCCTCGTAATAACTGGTATATGTAAAATGACGAACGTTTTCTTTCAGGTACATAAATAAGCAATACAAATATATCTTTAAATTTGTTCAAATATAGGTATCAGAATAAGGGCATTGCCGAGGATCAAACTATCTATATACGAAAGATGATCATTCGTCGTGAAATATGCTTTTTAATATTAGCTATTGTTCTGGACAGCGTTTCCGCTATTAATTGCCCAACAAATCAAGCATGCATCTGTCAACCGAATTATGAAGGAGGAATTGAGATAAATTGTCTGATGAAGAACGATTCGTCGTTCATCGTGAATATTCAACCAGACGAATATATAAAAGTACGTGTCTACTTAGTCACGAACATTCTGCGCTTGCCAAACAGTAACAAAATCTATGCACAGTATATAATCAACATGACCAAAAATTAAATCAATAGATTAAATAAATAAAATGAAATTCGTCTCAATGAATTAGGATTTTCATATATATTCAAGAATTTGGACATAGACAAACTCATAAGATTCATAACCAGCGATATTAATAAAATAAAGATTCAAAATTTTATGAACTCATGATTCTTTGGTATTATATAAACTATCTTATTTTTCTTTATATCAATTATTCAATAAATATATAAATCTGAATAAAATTTGAAAAAAAAACAAAAATTTACGAAAATTCATTATTTAATATATTTCCTATCCAGCTTTGTTTTAGAATTTTTCCAAAAATATTTAGAGAGGCATATCATTTAAATTCTTGTGAAAAGTATATTATATATATAATAGAAATTTTTATACTATATTATTATTCTAACACCCATTATCGGATTAAAGATTGAGATTGAGAAAAAAGAAATATCAAATTTAATAAATTGTTTTTTGATTAGTCGAATAAAATATTAATCTCGATCTCTAATTTGATACGGAACATTTTCATAAATTGTCTATGCTATTTTTTGAGTTTGTTTATAATTAATCGAATTTGCATTAATGGATGCTTTTTCTTACACAGATCGAATGTATTAATTCACCGGAATGGTCAGATTTCAATCTGGAAGTGTCATCTTTAACAAAGAATGAGAGTATCAAGTCAATATATTTCTACATGTGTGATTTACCGACCAACAAAAGTTTGGGTGAAATCACGCAAACACTAGGAGTTACCGAAGTGAACAAATTAATCTTTCAATCGTACAAGAATTTGAGCTTTGCCCTGGTCAAGCATCATTTGGATGACTTTGAGAATTTGAAATCTCTAGTCTTGTCAAGCAATAATGTGTCCTACGTGGATAAAGATCTGTTAGCTGGTCTAGTCAACTTAACGGGACTTAATTTGCGTGACAACAATTTACACCTAGTCTCCGGATTTTTCAACTATACCCCCGGATTAGAGTGGATCGAATTGGGTGACAATGCTTTACGATCAATAGAACTGGGCATGTTTGACAACCTGAAAAATCTAACGTTACTTAATCTATGGAAAAATCATTTAACAGAGCCTCAGTTGGGAATTTTTGATGAACTCATTGCTCTGAAGAGCCTCGATCTCAATACGAATAACATGATTAAGTTACCGGATGACATTTTTGCGAAACTCGAAAACCTAGAGGTTCTTAACTTATCTCGAAATAATTTCACACGTTTACCGAGAAATCTGTTACAAAATAACACGAAGCTACATACTGTCTCTCTGTTTGACAACAAGAGAAATATGACAACCTTACCAAATAAATTTTTTGCTAATTTAATGGAATTAAAGGTGTTAAAACTAAGAAAAAACGGATTTGTTACACTGCCAGAAGATCTCTTCTGGGGATGCACTTCGCTAACTAATATCACTTTGGAACGAAATTATCTTAAAACTTTACCTGTGCATATATTCCGTGATCTAAAAAAACTTGAAAACTTGGAACTGAATTTTAATGATCTTGAAACATTGCCTGATAATATTTTCTCTAATACCAATCGATTAGTAAAACTAGATTTATCAAAAAATCAACTTACTTCCATTTCCAGGTATGTTTAAATAACTGTTATTACATGAACGAATGAATGAATGATAACGATTGCTTGTTTTTCACACTGTTATTAATACATAATTCTTTACAGGAATCTATTCAGTGGATTACATGCTTTAAAGGAATTAAATATGGAAGAAAATCAACTGATGACTATTTCTAGCCACAGTTTCAGTTTTTTAAAAGAATTGAAAATTGCCAAGTTTTCTAAAAATTATCTTAAATTAGAAGATACTTATCATGAATATCCTGATCCATTTGGATCGAAATCGCCTTTTTATGATTGCTTGTCATTAGAGGAATTATATTTAGCTAATAATAATATTTCAAAGATATTTAGCGACTGGATTTTGAGCGACTTAGGACTTCGAAAATTAGATCTTAAATATAACAATATATCTTTGATAACCGTAAGTATATGAGAAAAATTACCTCTAAAATTAATATAAATTTGATAAACAGATTTGAAATATTTGACTTATGAGATAATAAAATATTTAACATTATTTTTTCTTTTTTTTTTTCAGACTGAAGATTTACAGTTTGTGTCACATGACATCGAAGTGGATTTGACTCATAATAAAATAGAGCATATCTTTTTACGTAGTGCTGAAAAACTAGTAAGTTATCAGGAGGATACTACTCATGATGCGAAAATATTAGTAAATGATAATCCATTACATTGTGATTGCGGGTTATATGACTTTCTACGTTATATCGAAGGCAAAATGCATCCCAAAGTTCCAAATTATTTCCAAATAATACCAGGCAATTTAAGTTGCCAAACTCCAAAGGACTTAGAGAATCAGCCCGTTACAAATTTGAAATCTGAATTATTAACATGTATAGTAGATGATTCTGATGTGTGTCCTGAAAAGTGCACTTGTTTAGTAAGACCCGAAGGTAGTGCATTCATATTTGATTGTTCTAACAAAAACTTGTTTAGTATACCAAGCAATATAAGAAAACCTGGTAATTCCTTCCAATTTGAGCTGAATTTCTCTGGGAACCAGTTAACTCATATGCCTGATTTGAAAGCAATGGGACTTGAACCAGTAAAGAAACTTATTTTATCTCACAACAACATTAATGAAATTTCTCTGGATGGATTGTCCAGCACAATACAGGTGCATAAATTTACAATCCTTTATTTAGAGAATAAAACATTGGTATAAAGAAAAATTTTTTTAATTTAGTATAATTATTTACATAGACAAAAAGTGTTCAATTAATAAGATGCGCAGGTCTTAATTTTTTCAGATCACTCTATGTACATAGTTATAAAGTAATGATAAAAAAATAAGAGTTGCATTTTAATTTAAAAGTATCAAATTCTATTTTAGGTTTTGGAACTACACAACAACAACGTGTCAAAAATACATCCTGACGTGTTAAAATTTCTGAAACAATCAATGAATTTAACTCGATTGACGTTACACGAAAATCCATGGGAATGTGATTGCAACGCTAAAGATTTTCGAAATTTCATTCAAACGAATTTAGTGACGATGCCTGATCTATTTAAAGTGAAGTGTCCGGAAAAAAACACTTTTGTATCGGAAATGACTTTCACTGATTTTTGCCCGTTGCATACAACAAAGATCATCGGTATTAGTGTAGCAATTTCTTTTACGGGATTTCTTATCGGATTCTTTGGATTACTCTATTACAAATACCAACGGCAAATTAAAGTGTGGCTTTTCGCCCATCAGTGGTGCTTATGGTTCGTAACCGAAGAAGAGTTGGATAAAGAAAAAGTGTATGACGCATTCGTGAGTTACTCGCACAAGGATCACGATTTTGTCGTGGACGAATTGGTGACTAAGCTGGAGAATGGCCCAAGGTCGTTCAAATTGTGTCTTCATTATCGGGACTGGGTAGCGGGCGAGTGGATACCAGCAAATATTGCTAGCTCCGTAGAAAATTCTAAACGGACGATTGTAGTGCTATCACCGAATTTCTTAGAGAGTGTCTGGGGAAGAATGGAATTTCGGGCTGCCCACAGTCAAGCGTTGAGCGAAGGTCGTGCGCGAGTAATATTAATTCTGTACGGTGATATCGGACCCACTGACAACTTAGATCCAGAACTGAAAACATACTTAAGTATGAACACGTATGTCAAATGGGGAGATCCTTGGTTTTGGGATAAATTGAGATATGCGCTGCCGCATGAACCTAAACTTACAAGGAACAGCATCGCTGGAAAGAAAATCTTTGAGAATCATCAACTGTGTATTCAAGCAAATGGGGATAAAAAGGAGCTCATCTATCCAATTGAGATTTCTGAGATTCCACCGACCACTACACCGCCAGCTGACACACTTAAAAAGTTCATCTGTGATAAAGAATCGGAAGAACAATTATATTTGAATAAATATGCACAGGAATCGTGTAAATTGAATGGAAACCCGATCATTCTCTCACCCGAACATTTAATAAAACACGATAATAAAGAATGTCTTGTCTGATAGCACAAAAGTATAAAAAATATTAATTAGAGATCATTCATAGATCCGTCTTAGATATATGTAATGTTAATGTCAAGAAGTTTTGATACTTTTTATTTTTTTAAGAAGACTTGATCTTAATTTAGAGAATCTTCAAATGAAACAATTAGATAATAATACAAATTTAAGAAAACGAAAAAAGCAGGGAAAAAATAAGAGATGTGCAATTGACTGATGTTAGACTAAACTTATAATAATAGATATATAAATAATATTAACATATTTTAGCCATTCCTATAAAATTAAATAATTTTCAAGAATAACTCATTCAAGTAATTTGATAAAATATTACTATCAATATATTATTATCAATCGTTATTTATATTTTAAACTATACCATAATTAATGTTTTACTATATTACTATCAATGTAAATTTTTTAAGAAATATCTAATAATATTTATTATCACAGAAAATGTATTTCAATTTAAATACTTCCTGTTGATTGTTTAAGATTTAAAAATTTGTAGATTATTACAAATTAGCTACAATTATGCAAATATTATATTTTATATAATATTGTAAGATGTTTATTCCTCTCGTAAATGTCATTTTAAATGTATCTTTAATATAATATGTTATAGTTTTGCATGCAATATTGTAAATTTAAGATAAGATATATTTGATATCTTTTATAAGAAAATACTCAAGGATTATTTTATATATTGTGATACACTTAATTTAGTTATACATAAAATATACTATATATATAACACAATATTATAATTAAAAAATAGTTTATATAAAGTGTTTCCTATATCTTTTATTAGCGTTAATTTTTAAAAACAATTTCATTAAATTTTTTAAACAATGATATAATTTAAGAATAGAATACATCCTATATAAGTTGAATTATGAAAACAGTACCTGACAAAAGTTAATTGTACTTTAGAAAATGCTGTCATGCATCAGAATATGTAAACACATTATAAGTATCCTGCTTTTTAATGCATATTCTTTTATATCTTCATTTTTTAAACAATGTGACATGTAATTATTCTTAAAGAGAGATTAAAATATGTATATATTTTTTTCAATTATTTTATAAAAACTTTAAAAATACAAAATTTACTTTACGATGTAAAGAAATAAACAAAGTTGTATTTCGATCAATATATAAATCAATAAATAAGTTAAGAAATCAATATATAAATATTGCAAATATATAATAATCTTTTTATAATTTGTTATATTTCTATAATGAAATCTGTAATGTGCCGTATGTGATATGCATATAACGCATAGAAATCTGAGACGAAATATGTAAAATGTATCATGGATATGTTACAATGCGTATAATGTATACGAATATGTACGAGAGTTAGTCTAAAAGTACGTTTTTTTATTTAAAAACAGAAAGACAAAGTTAAAAATCTGAAAAAATTAATTTTTTTCCTAAAATAGGAAAACTTATTTTTGGACTAATTCTTGTATATAATTAATTACAAATATATTAGATTTTTTCAAGATTATAAATTTGTCGCAAATAATGTCTTACCTAGACATTCTTGCTAAGGAATTATATTTAAAGTATCTAGAAAAAAATCTTCAAAATACTATGCATAATTATTATATTAGAAGAAAAATTTCAAAAGTAAGCCTAAATTTATTACTAATTCGTGTTGTATACTGTATGTATTTTTGTTAGAAATATATTAATTTGTTTTTATTTATATACGTGTATATATAAATAAAAATATTATTTAAAGTTTACTTCTTGTCTTCTATTTTATATCTTACTTTTGAACAATTTTCTTTGTATATTTTATCAATAAAATATTATATATTCCGTCAAATTGTATAATTTTGACTTACCAATAGCAGTTTCGGTTCACCGATGCCTATGGATTCGTTGCATATAAATCTTATTTCGGACGTGTAAGAATCTGTTACAAGAAAATATAATTTTAATAGAGTTGAAAATCAATCATAAATACATTTAATGAAATAGAAATATTAAACTCACTGTTATTACATTTACTGCCATTTGAATATTTAAGTTTTACGTCATTACGACTGTAATCAAAAATCACACTTCCTAGCGATCCATATCTATTATATTCGTGACATATGGCAGAACAGTTGCAACATTTCTCTCCACCACAAATATTTATAGCATACTTTTTGCCTTGTTTGCTTTTCACCTAGTTTTAGTTTTATTTTTAATAAGCGTTTTTTTTTTAAATATTGATATTGTTAGCGGACATTAAGTATTGTATATAAATATGTAAAAGATATCGTTAATAATAACAAATTAAAGTTAACAATAACTAAGATTACATAATCGATACTTAATCATAATGTGTATAGTCATAATGTATAAAGTTATCACTTATATTGTATTTCGAACTCACATAATGTAGCGGTTGCTTTTCATATAACAAAGAAAGGTCGTATTCATATGAAAGGAAACTATCCTTTATAATACATGGTGCCACCCAATCTCCTATCACAGCACCACATGCTATACTAGTATTCCATTCAAATACATAAGTACAATTAGCATAGTGCTTATATACTGGAAGTCCCTAAAATATAAAAAACATGACAATATACTAAATTTCTTTTTATAAACTAGATTATACATAAATTTAAGTAGTTCTATATGCTTATTTCTAAAGACGTTAATCCTTTAATAATAAATAAAACTGTCGTAAAATAATAACTTTCTTCCAAATTCTTTCAATGTAAAATTTGATCTTAATTTTAATAATAGATTTATCATTATAAAATTCATATAAAAAATAAAATTCATTATTAAAATTCAAATTGTGAAACTTTTAGAAACTACTGTATGCTGTTACCTGATTGTTATTATCGCAAATAAATGTGAAATTCGAAGATATCGTTTTAGTTGGATTCTCGGGACATTGTGATCCATTAACATAACGTAATACTGTTTGTAAATCTTTATTTAACGTTGGACTGTCTTCGGGAAATCCTAAACTCTGAATTATTTTAATAAAAATATGCATATTATTAATTTAAGTCACTATACAGTACCAATTATACTATCACTAACTGTTTATAATTTAAATAAATTTGTACTCACGATTTCATTCGTATATTCGTTCTTTGAAGATATCGAAACCTTACAAGCAGCACTACCATGTGCACATATAAGACCTTGAGTAGGAACTAATGGTCGACATATATTTATGTGAAATTCCGTATCGTTGACTTTAATAATATAATTGTTTGTAGATTGTATAAGAGAAGTTAAATTGATTTCATCGTTATTATCGGTAGCACATTTAATCTAAACAAGAATAATTCTTTATTGATTATGTCAAGAGAAAAGTCAATAGCATGTATATAATTATACTTACTTTTTTCTCACAAACTAAATCTGTATTCAAGTGTATGATAGTTTGACAAGTAGATTCTTTTATGAGCAATGGCCGACTGGGCGATCCTTGAAGTTCACAAAAAAAATTAATAAGTGTATAGTGGCTCATTCCATTTTCACATAAATCCCCATTGGTATAATTTAAATAAGGACCACCTTGTTGCCATATTAGATTTGCATTAGCTTGTCCTAACGATGTACCATATTTTGAATTACATACTCCTGCATGAAAAAATAATTGACAGATAAATAAACTTTAAATCTATCACATAATCATAATATGCAATATAATTTCATGATGTGATATAGCACCTGTGTTATTTCCACATGAGTTATCCATAAGCGTATCACAAACTCTGAATTTGTATTTTACACCACTTGCACTTGTAACAGTAAAGTCTTTGTTCATTAATGTTTGTAAGTCATATCTGAATATTACAAAATACATAGTCAAATTATAAACATATTGTATAATTATCAGTATTAATCGTATAAAAGAATTATTCTTACGTAAAATTTGTAATTGGATTTATACCGTTGCATTTGCCTGCTTTTTTAACATTATAATCATGAAGAGTCTCAATATCGCAGGCTGCAGCAGTATACCATATTAATTGATAATGACAATCCTTTATCCCACTCCCCAAAATATATTCTGGAGGACCCTAATAACATTATAATATTCACAAAACATATTTCTTTTATATATATATATATATATTTTTTGTGCTTTTTATCTTTCCAGCATGGACATAGGTCCACTTTTTAATTATCTAGTTAACTTGTGATTAAACTTAATATAATGTTTTGTTGTATCAAATGAGTTCCACCCATGACATTAGTACAGATAAAGCTCATTGGATAAAACATCAACCGATTATAATTATAAGTTAACCAGGCCACATATGACATTGGCAAACAAAAAGGATGTAATAATTTGCTGTATTATACTATGTTCTTGCTAGAAAACACTCTTTTGTTATTAGCTGCTGCCATACCTTAGCTTCCAAATCACATTTAAAATAAATAGTTGTTCCAACATGTGGAGTTGTAATATTTTGTGTGCATATCGCACCATTCTGATATTCTATTTGTAATATCCCATCTTTAAAGAAAGGAGGCTTGTATACTTCTCCTAAATTAGAATATCTATAACAAAAATCAATTTATTTTCAAAGAAAAAAGGTATACTGTTATCAAAAAGTTATATATTATTTAATAACAAAATTAAATTATATATTATATATGTCATATAATCAATTTTAATAAAAGATCGTTTGTCTCAATACCTACCTATTAGGTTTTTCAGGATCGTCCAAGCAGACTCCAGACTTAACTGGACACATGATACCATGATGTAGTATAGATTGACAGACATTTAATATTATTTTAGGTGATTTTGTTTTATTTTTTATATATATCGGAATGACATAATTTTCTGAAGTTCTTGTTAAAGGACTTAGATCATAATAGAGTCCATTGTTAACAACTGTACAGCTTGTTTGAGTTCTAGGTACACAAGCTAATGCTGTCTTCCATACTATATATAAGTTACACTGCTGGTCATCCTAAAAGTATTTTTTGTTACATATACCAATCGACATCAATACATCTTTTAAAAACTACTTACATGTGGAAATAATTCAGGATATGAATTAGTTTCAGCAGCATAATCACAGTGCATAATAACTGTCACTGTATAATTGATTCCACGTAGACAATTATCACCAGTAAAATTAAATAAAATTCTTCCTTGTTCATTATCTAATTTTGGAGGAAATCTTCCTGTTTATGCAAAAAAATTAATTCCATTATCAGATTCAAGATAATATATTCTTTAAAGCATAAAATATAATTTAAACCATACAGCATTACCTATTCCTGTTTCTATATTGTTTTTTATTAGACATATTGCATAGCCATCTTGGTTATTACATTTTTTAATTAATGGAGAACATAATTGCATACGTATTGTCTCATAATCATGCTTAATAATAATATCTTCTTTTTCTGATGACAGTTTTGTTAAATTATATATAAAACTTAATTTACGTTCAGGTACTTCACAATATTTTGAAGGAATGATGGCTAAAACCTACAATATAAGAAAAGTAATTTCTAATTTTTTTTATTAACGCAGTTTATGTCATCAAAAATAAACTAGCAACCTTAAACAAATGTAAATAACAAAATTCAGAGATTCAATCAATATTATTTCTAGACAAATTGCTTAAAAGGCATAAATAATATGCATAAATATAATGATGATATGAAGCTTATATAATTGAAAAAGTAAACACAATTAAATATGCATTACGTACAGTCGAAGTAATAATAGCCGATAAAAACCAAAGAAAGAGTATTCCATTCAATTTTGACATTGTTATGAAATCAGATCTTTCCCATTACATTATTTAGTGAATTGATTCGTGACGCGCAGCATAAAATACAGAATAAAGACGATAAAAATATCGTCCGATAAGTTCGCTGACAAATTCGAATCACATGCGATGTGAAACAACAACGCACTAGGGTGGGGTCACCACCCTGTTTCTTGTTGTTCTTTCACACCTTTGCCGGCTTCGCGTTCGCGTTGGGTAGAGTCCTAGATATCAGAGAAGCGCAACCGATGTTCCGCGTCCTGATTAGCTGACTATCAGCCAACCTTTGCCGGCTTCGCGTTCGCGTTGGGGAATGAATTCAGGGTGCGTTCAGAAATTACACTCAGATAACTCTTGGGTGCATTTTTAATATAAGGGTCTGCGCACAATAGGAGAAATATTAGGAACAGATATTAAATGTAAGAATTTTAACCTATCAGAACTGTGTACTGTGGAATGTGCGCTTTCTAACAGGTTAAAATTATTATATTTAATATCTGTTCCTAATATTTTTCCTATTGTGCGTAGACCCTAAAGCTGGTTCTACATTAGTTGCAAATCGATCGCAAGTTTGTTGCGACAGCCAATCTCAAGCTTGCATTTTGAAATCAACGCTTCAGATTGGCTGTCGCAACAAACTTGCGATCGGCTTGCAACTAATGTAGAACCGGTATAATATACGTAACGTAAACTATAGCCTAGAGTTACCTAGGCGTAATTTCTGAACGCAACCCTGCGCAGTAATGTAAAGCCCATGGCACATACAAAACGTAAAGGTACTTTTTCATGCGCAGCACGCTGCAGCAGCAATTCGTTACTATTGGTTAAGAATTTTATGTAAGCTAGATGACGTACTTCCGGCGCAAATACATTTTGCCGCAGTTCGTTGAAGTTGAACCGAACGAACAGCAAGCAGCAAGCGGCAAAATCGAGAAAGCGTACAATATGTCCGTCGTTTTATTATAAAAATATTATTTATTGCAATAAATATTAGGAAAATAAACGAAAAATGGCTTCGGATAAGGTACGGATACATGTTTGTAAATTAGATCATTTTATACTTTACCATAAATTTGAAAAAGTAAAGTGTAAGGTATAAAATGATCTAATTTACAAACATTCGTACCTTATCCGAAGCCATTCTTCGTTAATTTTCCTAATATTTATTGCAATAAATAATATTGCCTCGATTTTGCCGCTTGCTGCTTGCTGTTCGTTCGGTTCAACTTCAACGAACTGCGGCAAAATGTATTTTGCGCCGGAAGTGCGTCATCTAGCTTACATAAAATTCTTAACCAATAGTAACGAATTGCTGCTGCAGCGTGCTGCGCATGAAAAAGCACCTTTAGGGTTGGATTATACCGGCCGTAATCTGTTAACTTATGCTGTAATCTGTAAAAATTGACCAATTATAATCGATTATTCCCCTCTCATTCGACTGTGATTGGTCAATTTTTACAGATTACAGCATAAAGCTGATTTTTCATGTGCAGCACGCTGCAGCAGCAAAATGTCATGTGATACAAATTTTCGAGAACTGATTGGAAGTAGAGTCCTAGATATCAGAGAAGCGCAACCGGCTTAAGTCAGTATCGCAAAATTACTAAGAAAAGTATTAAAAATGGCGTCATTTGCAGACGAAATATGAAATCCACCAATCGTCTATTAGTCAGCCATTTTTAATACCACTGAATGAATGTCATGATTGGCTGACAGTCAGCTAATCAGGACGCGGAACATCGGTTGCGCTTCTCTGATATCTAGGACTCTAATTGGAAGTACGTCACAATGCGTCACCTCACAAAAGATTTTTAACCAATAATAACATTTTGCTGCCGCAGCGTGCTGCACATGAAAAACCAGCTTAAAACGCTTACTGATTACTTTTACGGCCTTACGTTTTTGTATGTGCTATGGGCTTCACGATTTCCTTACTGATTACGCTTACGGCCTTACGTTTTTCTATGGCTGCGTTCCGTTTCAGACATATGCGCGCATTTTATATAGTAAAGCGGGGAGCACAGACTTTTGCGTAACGCATAAACCATATACATAAAGAATTTGATTGGTCCATTGACTCATGCATAAGAAAATGGACCAATGAAATTCCTTATGCACATGCTTTATGCGTTATGCAAAAGTCTGTGCTCCCCGCTTAAACGTCACGTATACTATAGGGGAATGCGCGCATATGCGTGAAACGGAACGTAGCCTATGTGTCATGGGCTTAAGGCTGAGTCCACAACTTCGCTTTAAAAGGCCCTAAGCCGTAAAGCCGTAAAAAATTGACCAATCATAGTTGAATGCGAGAAGAATAATCGACTGTGATTGATCAATTTCTTAAGGTACATTGCAGCGAAGAAAAGCTGGTGTTTTACCCCCACTCTACTATAATGCCAAGCAGCGGCTTGACGGCTCGAGAGCTATCGATATTAAGCCCATGGCACATAGAAAAACGTAAGGCAGTAAACGTAATCAGTATACGTCTTACGGCCTTACGTTTTCTATGTGTTTCTGGCTTAAGCAAATTGACCAATCACAATTGAGAAAGTAAACGGCGGCCGCTACGATCTCAATTATGATTGGTCAATTTGCTTACTAATTACGTTTACGGCCTTACGTTTTTGTATGTGCCATGGACTTAACTTTTGCGGACATCCGGTGCGGATTACGGATTGCGGGCTGTATGTGACGGCACCCTTAAGCGGGGAGCACAGACTTTTGCAAAACGTATAAACCATATACATAAAGAATTTGGTTGGTCCATTGACTCATGCATAAGAAAATGGGCCAATGAAATTCCTTATGCACATGCTTTATGCGTTATGCAAAAGTGTGTGCTCCCCGCTTTAAGCTGGGAGCACAGACTTTTGCATAACGCATAAACCATATACATGAAGAATTTGATTGGTCCATTGACTCAGGCATAAGAAAATGGACCAATAACATGCTTTATGCGTTATGCAAAAGTGTGTGTTGGGGATCTTAGTATATAAAAAAAATTAGTATATAAAATAGTATATAAAAAGTTTCAAGTATTTGATAAAAAAATATTTTTTGTCTATACGGTCTCTATTTAGATTAATTCTAATTTAATAACATATACATGTAATTTATATTAATATAATAATTTTTATATATAATAATTTATATTAATTTATATTAATCATGTAATTTACCTTCGGTATACCATATCAAATGTGTGGTGTCGAATGGCTCACCGCTCGGTGCGATTGACTCGCGTTTTGTAGACCCGAGTCCAATCCCACGTCCGCCCAAACGCGATTTTTCGCTGTATTATCGACGAAAACGTCAAAAACAAGCGTTTTTGAAGTTTTCGTTCCTGTCTAATTTCTTCATAATAGTTTCACAGAATAAAAATTCCTTCTCCACGATTAAAATATCCGAGCTAATATATCTGTGCCTGGTGTATATTGTGTCCAAAGCTGGAAAAAGTATGAAATTACAGATTTCTTTATCCATATTTATCTTCAGCGTTGGTCGCCATATTGAGGTTAAATG